TCCTGTCTTGACCTCATAAGTACCAAGGATTACAATCAAGTGCAACCATGGCCAGTTTATTAGCAATCTTAATTTCCCTTTGCCATGTAGTGTAATAAATTCCCAATTTATTACATTCAAATTGTGAAATTTCAGAGATATACTGTGTAAAACTCATGCTGTTGGCTTACAAATGAATCTGACTCAGGAATAAATCTTCCAGGATGGCAGTCATTTGTAAATTGGGGATTTACTGTGTATACTCATAGGTGTTATGAATTACAATGGTAACATTTGGGGTGAAGAAGATGATCCATTATTCTGTTTACTACATCAGTTAGGAAAAAAGGACAAGCATGTAAAAATGATATTTTCAGTGAGGTGCCAAGCTGGTGTAATAGAGAAAAAGTGAAGACTATGGAATGGCAATATAGTCGTGGGAAGAACTGAATGAACAATACACAGGCACAAATGCTGCCTTACCCTCCAGCTTTCAAAAAGAAAATGAGGCTGTACTTCTACAAAGCTTTTATTTTTTGAGCACTGGCAATTGAACTCAGTACCTCACAATTGCCAGGCAGATGCTGTTCTGCTGAGTTACATTCCCCGCTGAAGCTGTACTTCATAGGATAGCTCACACTTGTCCCTCTCAAATCTCCCCATGCTAAAATGGGAATTTCTATTTTTGTAGCCTTCCCTATACTGTAGGGAAAGAGAGTTGTAGGCAGGGAAAGAACAGAAGAGACTCATTAGGCTTTATTAAGAAATTAACAGAAAATTTTACCAAAGATAACTTTTGCCTCTAACTAGACTTGAGAGATAAGACAAAGAAACTACACCTAAAAAGGAACCAGGAAACATAATTCACATAAGAATTTACCAGAGCATCACTTATTAAAAAGAGGCTGTCTTTCTCTCAGTGAATGTGCTTGGCCCCTTTGTCAAACATAAGGTGGCTGAGTGTGCTTTAAGTTGTTTCTACATACTCTTTTTTAAAAAAAAATTATTTATTGGACATAGGGTCTCACTATGCAGCTCAGACTCATTGATCTTCCTGTCTCAGCCTCTCCAGCAATAGGATTACGGGTGTGTGCCACCATGCCTGGTCCCGGAGCTGGCACAGGATACGGAGCCAGGGATTGAACTTGGGTCCTCGTGCTTGCCAGGCAGATGCTTAGCTTGCTGAGCTATCTCCCCAGCCTGTCTCTACATCTTCTAATTTATTCTATGGATCTTCAGGTCTGTTTATCAGTACCACGCTGTTTGTATCACAGTAGCTCTGTAGTATAATTTCAAGTTAGGAATTGTGATGCTACTTTGCCTTTGTTGCTTAGAATTATTTTTGCTATTCCAAGTCTCTCCTGGTTCCAAATAAAACTTATGAATGCTTTCTATAGTTCTGTGAGATGTGCTAATGGTATTTTTATTGGGATTGCATTAAATCTATTTAACAATTTTGGGAGTATGGCCATTTTCATTATGTTGGTTCTTTCTACCCAACAGCAAGAGACATCTTTCCATTTTCTTATATTGTCTTTAATAACCTTTTTTTGGAGTACTGTAGTTAGCCAAGGTAGAGATCTTTTAGTTCATTTGTTAGATTGATTAGTAAATATTTCATTTTTTTTGGTGCTTTTATGAAAGGTAAAGTTAGTTGCCCTAATTTTTCTCTTAGTACTTTGTGTACAAGAATGCTATTGATTTTTTTGTTTATATTTTAATCTATGTATATTCATTCACTCGACAGACTAAAACGTACAAATATTTTTAAATGACAGGCCAGGTCCATTTATTTCCACTCCATTCTTTGGCTGAACTTTATTAATATATCTGCCCTTCTTAATCCTCTTATGACAGGCATTACTACCCTGTCACTCAAACCAAACCTGCTACTGCTTGGTCACGCCCTACCTCCCTTTACTCATGAACTGTTTTTTTTTTTCTCTTAGATCGGTTTTATTGGTGGCTCTGTAGCCCCATGGAGTCCAGCCTGGTGGCTTAGGCCAGCCTCTTGCTCACACGCTCGTAGGTCACGTCTCCAATGGAGGAGATCTCCACCAGCTTGTCACCCACAATCTCCGAGGTATGGCGATAGTTGGGAAACTCCGCCACTATCTTCCCGCCCTCCATCTTCACAGTGGCCTTGAAGTTCTTGCCCGCCAAAGACACCATGTCACTCTCTTTGCCAATGGTGAACTTGTTGGTAAAGAGATGGCCCCCGGAGTAGGACTGCGACCAGGTGAAGTCCTGCCCGTCCTGCTGCACCTCAGTGACGATCTTAGCATTGCGACCCTTTTCAAGCACGTCACTGGGGAGGCCAAGGCGCTTCATGAATTCATCATAGTTCTTCTCACTTTCCACCTGGAACTTGCCGCTGAAGGCCATTCTCTTGTCCCAGCACCAAGGGCAGGGGCTGTTTCTTTCTCTCTCTCCCTTCCTTTCTTCTTTCTCCCTCAGACCGAAGCTCCCTATGTAGCCCAGGCTGGCCTCAGAACCACGATCCTCCACCCTCAGTGATTTACCCCGGCTCGCCACGAAACCCGGCTCTAGTCTCCTCATGAACTGTTAACAAGACATCTTCCTGTATGTCTCTGGAATTAATCTTTTCTTCATTAGCGTTCCCTTTTGCAACTCCATTTCTTTGTAAGTGTGGCATATGAGATTTTAACTGCTCTGTTCATTTTTTCTTCTTTAGTCAGTTGTGACAGTTTTTCTGCTTAACTAGGATGATTAGCCTTGATAGCATATCCCAGCCTATACTGAATGTAATCCAGATCAGAGCTAGCTTTCTGGAATATCAGTACCAGATTATCGACATCTGCCTTTATGTTGACTAGCTGACATTCCTCAGGCCCTGGCAGTGCTTAGGCTGCACCTTACTTCTACAGCTTCCTTTAACCAGCGACCCAGTCACTGCATTTGTTTTGCAATTATTTTTTTGTACTAGGAAACAAATTTACAACCTTGCACTTGCCAGGAAGGCACTTATGCCGCTGAACTCTTGTCCCAGTTCTGCAAACCTTACTATTGCTTTTGCTTTTTTTTTGTTTGTTTTATACCAAAGATGGAACTTAGGACCTTGTGCTTGCCAGGCAGGCACTTATGCCCAGCCCTACTACTGATTTCTGAGTACTGACTTTGTATCCAGTTACAGGACTAAATTGGGTTATTAAATCTAGAAGTCTTTTGGTAATGCTTTTGGGGACTTCTATTTAGAGCATCATGTCTGATGATAAGTTAACTTTTTCCTTTTCTATTTTTATTCCTTTTATTTCTCTTGTCTAATTGTCAGGCTAATGTTTCCAGAACTAAATTGAATAGGGGTGGTGATAGCAGACATCCTTCACATCCTTCATCTTTTTTTTTAAATTTTATTTTTCCCATAATTTTATTGAGAAACAAATAGCAATGAGACAGTTTCAAACCAAATTGGTAGAACAGTTTCAATAATTAACATATTGCATACATTCTTCCTAGTGGTTAATTGCTGTACAAGATGCGGACTTGATATCCTATTTACAAACACCATTAGAACAAATCCCTCTATTCATTAAGAGAATGTAACTATATATCTATCCTAACCATTTTGAATACACAGATACAAAATGGACATTCATCTGTATCCCCTTTTTCTGTTAAGTTCCATTATTTGAATATTATAGGTGTGTAAATTCAGCAAAATATTCTAAAAGAGTCTAGTAGTCCATAATAGTATTGGGTCTTCCACTTCACTGGCAATGTCAGAAATTGTTGACCTGAGTCCCCTACAGCTCAATATAACAGCATGGCTTTACTTCTTATATTTTGTTTTTATACTTTTCTGCTGGATGGTTAAGACCAAGGTAAAGCAGGACCTATGCAACAAGAGTTGTAGCTTTTGGGTCTGATAAGGTCAGTGAAATCCCCTCAGGATTTATCCTGAGATCCTGTACCTCAGATTGTAGAACCTTTGTTGGTGTCAGCCACGTGGATGAGTCACAGCCATTGCTTGGCCAATGTGCTCTCTGTGAAAGCCTGAGAGAATGTTTTCTCTCCATGTGACTCTCCTTAGGCACACTCTATATCATCAATCACATTCCTCTTTGGTCCCATAATCTCCTTGATCAGAAAATTTGGGACACTACTGAGTTACGTGACATTACAGTACAAGTTCTCATATGTCCTGAGTCTTAATTGACCTTAGAAGGCTAGGGCCAAAATGTTGGCTTTCCTTGCAGCCCTCCTTTTTCTCTAATTTTGGTCTGCAAACTTAGGTTGTTAACCATCCAGAAGACAGGTTTATTGTTATTACCATACAACCTAGGCTGTTAAGCTTAACCTCACTATCTGTCTGAATATCAAACATCTTAGGCATAACATGGAACAGGTATTTTTCATCAAGTATTGATATGTTGGACTTTAAGTCGCTATAGAATATGATGAAAAAACATTTAAAAATTAGAATATATTTTTTAAAAATAGGCATAAAGAATTATATACTTCTTATGTTTAAACATAAGTCCAAAAATCTAACCACATACAACCTTGAAGCAGGACAATCCCACAATATTCCTTTTCCTGTTTCTTGCCTTCATTCACCACCCCCTTCTTTTTGAACAATCATCTACCTGAGAGACAGCACAGCAGCAACTGGCATGTCATGACAAGCAGCCCATATTCAGAAGACCAAATGACAGGCACTCTAAGCATGAAAGTACTATTACAGATTACCATCTTCAGTGCAGTTGCTTAGTTCACAGGTATCAGTATATATAGTTAGTCAGGGTGAGAATCTTTCCAATTAACTGCTAGATTAAAAAATCTTCTGAAGATTCTCAGGATCATTGCCTTACCCATCTTCTACATATAACTGTACATCCTTCGTCTTGTTCCTAATTTTAGAGTGAAAGCTTTCAGTTTTTAATCATTCAGTCTGATGTTGGCTGTTAATAACTCAGCAGCATGGCATTTGCTTGGTGAGCACAAGGTCCCTTTTTTGGCTGGGTCCTTCCCTGGTTTTGGTACCGAGGTAATGCTTGCTTCCAGAAATGACTTTGGGAGTATTGCCTCCCTTTCAATTTCATTAGAGTTTTCACAAGTAATGGCACTGACAAGTGAATGTCTTGTAGAATTTAGCAGTGAATCCATCAGGACCTGGGCTTTTTTCTTTTTTTTTTTTTTTTATAAATGTATTTAGTACAGGGTCTTACTACACAGATCACATTTGTAGTGAGTTTCTTGTTTTCAGCCTCCCAAGCACTGGGATTACAGGTGACTGCCACCACACCCAGTCTCATTCACCATCTCAGTATGCCCCAGGGGGCAGGGCCAGCATGGCATGCTGGGGATCAAACCCCAGTCCCTGCGCCTGCTTAAGCAGGTGCGTTGGTCTGCTTAACTATGTGACCGGCCTATTGGTAAGTTTTTAAATTACATTTTCAATTTCATTACTGATATGGGGTCATTTAGAATTTTTATATCTTCTTGAAAATAGACTCTTTAATAAATGGTGCTGGAAAAACTGGCTTCCCAACTGCTATAGAATAAAACTAAGCCGATGGTGTATCACGTGCACTAAACTAAAATAAAAATGGATCAAAGATCTAAATATAAAGACTGCCACCGGAACTCAGATGAGCTGTGACTGCTTCTCCCACTGTTGTAGAAATCAGGTGGGCCCAGGACAGCTACAGGGACCTGGTGAGCCCTGTCCCACCTCTTTCCCCTTTTACTGCCTGAGCTCAGCTGAGCTGTGACTACCTCTCTCACTTGCCCTCACCACAGCTCTGCTGAGCTGCTGCTGCCTGTCCCACTGGTAGCAGGAGTCGTGGTGAGCCTTACCCTGCCCCACCATCATGGAGAGCTTGCACAGTTTCAGTCTGCCCTTATCATCAAGAGATCCTTCTTGACCTGTGGATTGCCCTCCCTGCTGCCCAAGATGGAAGCCATCTGCATCCTGGACAGTGGGAGCTTCGGTGAGCCTACCCTGTCCTCCCACTCTTGTGGGAGCCTGGCTCACCCACACCCTACCACCCCCCATTGCTGCTGAGTTAGGGTGAACAGTGGGAGCTTCAAAAACGTCAAAATGAAGGAGCAAAAGGCAGTTTTGCTCTCAGAACTCTAGCCAACCCAGAACAATTCCAAGAAACAAGGTTATAAAAGAACTTGGAAGTCACACACCTGAAACTTCGGAACTGTTAGCAACTGAAGTAAAGAAACAACTCCATCAGGCTATGGAGGAAATCAGATGAGAAATAATCTCTCAGGTAAAAAAAGAAATGACAACAATCATGAAAGAATTGCTCAGCACATCTAAAGAAGAGAAAATAGATTAAAGAATAGACAGGGATAGGAAAATGATGGCAACACTGAATGAAGAATATGAGAAAGAACTAGAATGAATGAAACAGTCAAACAGATATCTAATATATTAAGAATTACACTGAAAGCTGGCAAAAACATCCTGAATGAAACTGAAGAAAGAATTTGGAACTCAAAGACAACATTGTGGCTAGTGAACATGAAAGGAAAGATCTCTTAAAAAATCACCGGCAGGACTCCGCAGCACCTCCCCCCCACCTGCTGAGTAGGAATTTCTGC